ATAAAGCATCAATTCAAAAAAATGTTTGAGAAGTCCATTTACTCGTAACTTACCGAAGAAACAAGGAAGGATGTAAGCAAACTCAGTATATAGAATTGTTGAACAGAACCAGCAGATGCTGGACTATTAATCTTACAATGTATAGGCCATTTCATGCTCTGTTAAAAGCCGTCAAATTACAGCGCGCACGCTTTTTTCGGGCATGTCTGTAAAATTCCTGATTTTGTCGGTATATCACAGCTCAATGATTCATCTATATTTTCAGCGACTACCCTATTAGTAGGATCCAGTACTCACCGTTTTATTTTTTTGCACTCGTCACTCCTGTAAAAACGCTACGTCTCAAAAATCACTAGTGCAAAATCCATGCTCATCATTCTTTCCTAAAGCAAAATGACGAAAAAATTTCCAGCAGCGAAATCTTATGCGAAATATATGACTCGAATCAGCTTTTGATTTGCAATCGAATGGTATAGTTTTTGAGTGATTTGATCGCTCATGAGGTATACTCGATAATTACTGTCTCCTGGCTTCGAAAGCAAGAGCGTGACATGGAGGCCACAGAGGTGCGAAGAATGCATGTCCATACGATTGCCGTTATCTCGTTAGATCATGGATCCATTTATATCATTTTGTCTATCATTAGTTTGTGAAGTTGTGAAACTTATCGTTGTTATTTCCAGCTGGTTCCAACGCTGATGTTTCTCACCAAAAAGCCGCTTTGTATTTTTCGAAATAACTATTGAGTTAAAAAGTACAGAATCATTACAGTTTTTGACCGAGAGTCGATCTATCATTGTGCCTACGTTCAAATTGACCTGGCAACCCACTAGATTGGAGACCGCGATTTCTCTGGCTGGCACTAACTCAAAGGTCCATTTGTGGGCTCCGCAAATCTTCAAAAAAAAATCTAGACAAAGTGGTTTGGCTTACCAGCTTTTCGAAGTTATCATTCGCTAAGTTTCACTGTTTGCTGCAAAAATGAGCGAAATATCCGCTGAAGTTTTGACTGCACATTTTAGCCGTCAAACGACGACGACAGGAAATGGTGAATGTGAATTATTTGGTGAAACTTCGTGTTTGCTAGCGAAAAAAAGCCAAAGTCAATTACAGTAAGACAAATAAAAAAAATCCTGAACGTGCGGTTTCCATTTCAGTCAGCCGATTTTTTCTTGAACGCAATCAAGTTTCACTTAAACTGAACATGTCGCAAAAAATTCTACTTCTGCAGAATATCTACCAAATCAAAATCACAAACTTACAATGCTGTTAAGGATAAGTGCAACTCATATTTTATCATTGAGATATTCAGAGAATTATATAAAATTGTGATAAACAAAATCACAATGAAGTTTAGATGTGAAATCATTCTATAATATATCACATAAAAATGGTGAAATCATTCTATAATATGTCAGATTAAAAATAAACAAAAGTTCAGAATTCGCTTTTACACTTTTTGCAGCTGCTGAGTACTAGCAACATTGCATTTGAAACCAGCTGGAAATAACAAGGATATGAAAATTTATCATAGTGAAAAAAAAACAATGATAGATCGACTCTCGGTCAAAAACTGCGATGATTTTGTACTTTTTGACATGATAGTTTTTGAATTTCGAAAAATAAAAAGCAGCTTTTCGGCGAGAAACATCAGCGTTGAAACCAGCTGGAAATAACAAGGATATGGAAACTTTTCACAACTTTACAAACTAATGATAGACAAAATTACAGAAATGGATCCATGATCTAATGAGATCATTATATAATACTTTGCACATTATGGTTCATGTACGTTAAAACAGGGATATTTACCAATGTTTGCTTCAAAATATGCCATGAAAGTATGATTTTATATGGAAAAACTGAATTTCGGTTTCCTTTGAGGGGTTTCCACAAAATTCTATGATATTTGGTGTCAAAATGATTGTGGTTGAAAGCAGTTGAAATTTTCGATTTATGACTAAGAATAACGAGGTCGAAATGGCTCTGTAATTTTCCAAAGATAGGCCAAATTTGCAATACAAAGCTTTGACAGCAGGAAGATCACTCTGATTGAGCTCGTCGTTGCCTGCTGAAAGAAAATGACCTTTTTTTTGCTAATGTTCCTCAAGGAGAATAAGATCCTGACCTCTACTAATTGCTCTCCCCGTCAAGCACTTCAATTTTCCGTTTATTCTTAGATGAAAATGTACAATCATGATCTTAATTCAATAATTGCTAGGTCTTTTAAAGTTTTCAAAGCCAAAAATTTGATATTTTCGATTCTTAACCTCTCCGAAGGTTCTCCGAGGTTTTAAGAGTGGAAATCGATAAGATTTCTGCACTTTTATCCCAGACATCACGATTTCCGTAAGTTTCATGAGATTTTTGAAGTGAATGAGGCTGTCTTTCAAATTCTTCCAGACCGTAGTGTAAGGGTGTAATTTACTTTAGTGAACTCCAGCTCTCTGAAAATTCCATCAGAGTTGAAAATTTTGACTTTCCCACTCCTTACCGTCGGAAGTTTCTGAATTTAGGAAAATTTATCATTTTTTGGTTCAGGTGTGTTTTACTTTTGGCAGGTTTGGTAAAGTATACAAACACTGATACCAGTAATTCTGAATAGCATCGCTCGGAATCGCTTCTTATTCTGTCAATTTTCATAAATGGTTTTTTCAAAGAAAATGTTGTTTGGAGCCTTATCGGATTCATTCAAATGTGTCAACTAACTGAGAACAATAAAGTTAAATTCTCAGGTTTTCATATTTTGAGAATGAAAGCCATTTTCATGTGGGTAAAGTCACGATGATATTCCTTTCTTTATGTACTCAATAGGGAAAGATTCCTTAACCATCATGATTGAATGTAAATTTCTTACGATATTTAGGTGGCACTCGTTTATCGCACCTTATGGCTGTTTCGTCTGGGTGCATTTGCACCTGAGCCAACTTGCTGAGTAATGATCGCAGACGGTAAAGTAATGCTGCAGTGATACGGAGCGATCAAACCATTATAGTTTCAAAATCTATCAGAATTACTCACAATTGAGCATCATAGTCGTTTTCCGGAACACAAAAACACAAATTACTTTTCCGTTTTTTGAAATCAAATTTGCAAAATCTCAAGGTTCAATCGCAGACAATGAAATTATCAAAATTACTGAGAAATGGTAGATCTGAGATAAACAAATCATTGGAAGCACCCGTGCTTGTGATACAGAATCAACTTTTCTGGATTACTCGGTATTTCCATAAAAAATTGCTTCATTTCATTTTTCAAATAGAAGGAATCATGAAATTGAACCCGAACATGATTTCAGTACTATATATATGTTCCAACCTCACCTTCACGTACCATCATTTGATAAGATTTGATAATAAATCGATACACCGAGGTCGCAGCGCCATGTGAGCCAGCGTGTTAATTAGGGCACTATGAGGGACCAAAATAATCCGTGAAAAAAATTGGGATTTTGCAGACTTTGAACACATGCTCAGATAGCTTGGAATTCGCTTGTTTCGAAAATCCAAATTAAAATTTGATACAAAAATCCAGAAGAAAGTTACGCCAATCCGGCTTTTTCAACGCGACATGCCGTTTGTAGCGCCGTTGATAATTCAGAAAAGTATCAAGACACGAGAATCAGCAAAGTTTGTGTAAACTCATGAGTGCATAAAGAGGTGCCGGCTCCAAATATTCAATCAAAATTTTGGTTGAAGGATTTTGAACTGAGTTACACTAGTGCGGCACTTCCAACGCGACACTGCGTTTAGACCGCCGCTGGCATGGAGCCAAAGTAGCTTGAAAGCAAGATTTTGAAGTTTTCAAAAGCGCTTTCAAGTAGTTCAGGAGACGCCGATTCCAAACAACCAAGTCAGAATTTGAAAGGTTTTAGTTGAAAAAATTTATGGCGGTGCGGCGATACCAACGCGGCAATGCGTTTATACCGCCGATGGCCCTAAAAAAAGATCTTTGTGAAGGAGTTTTTGAAACTTTTGAAAACACTTTTAGATTGTCCAGAAGGCGCTGGTTTCAAATATCTAAGCTAGAGTTCAATTGGTTGAGGTTCAAGCGAGCTATCGCAATGCGGCAATTCCGGCGCGACAACGCGTTTATATCGCAGGATTTCAAGGCGGCAGTGTTGGTACTATAGAAGCAAAGCTCAAATAATCTCTGAGATTTTCGCTCATCTAAGTGCATGGCTTGAATTTTTCAGCGAATACTTCAATGCGCTTAAGTATTGACAATCACTGCTTATTTGAATGTCCATAACTAATCCGTTTCAGAATCCCTGAAAAGAAAGCAAAGTCTCATCAAAACATATGACGCCACTTATTGTGCGGGTAATGATGCGGCAAAGTGTGTGCCACCTTTACTCCCATACTTCCAAAGATACAGAGTATGTTTTATTCACTTTTTTGGGTGTTTTCATGACATAATGAGTTAAAGAAGAGTCAAAAAAGATCTTATCTAACAAGGAAACGCTTGCAGAAAAATCTGATCTATGCCCTCCTTTAATATGAACAAGAAGCAAGGTTATGTGTTTTCTCCCTTCTTTTGAATAAAAATGACAGACCAAGCATGTTTTGAAAGTCAACAACAAGCTTTGATCTCATTTCGTTAGTGAACAATCACTAAAACACTACAAAGTTTATACATATGTACCTTAAATAGTAGCACAAGCTAGAACTACCAAAACACTTGAGTTTTCTTTGAGTGACATGATATGAGTTCAAAATGAGTAGAACGTTCGCGATGTAGCGAAATTATTACATGGAAAGAGTGGGAATGCAAGAAACTTTTGGGACGCGAGAAATATTATTAAAAGGGTGAAACGTTGAAGCGCTTTTTTCGGACATCCTAACTACATCAAAGGACGTAGCGACCTTAACTTGGAGATTTCACAAACTATCCTAATAGCAGTTTTTATTCTTGGAAAAACAACGATATCAAACATTTTGCTAAAGGTTGCCGATAAGTACCATCTGTTGGGCTGTGCCATCGAGAAGAACTTCTCTACCATGCTGAGCGCTATCTTGTGCTATCTATACGATGAAGAGCGTTTTATGCGAAATCGAAGAAATCTTACGGGAGAGACATACCACATTAGGTTAGCGTCAAATAATACTATTCATTATTTTTTTAATCACATTAATGCAGATTCTGCAAAGATTTGAATGAGTACGACACCCTCCAATCGGTTCGTAAAACGTTTGATGCCGACTACAACAGTTGGACAATGATAGCTGTTGTTAGAGACCCGCTGGAAAGATTTGTTTCCGGATTTGCTGACAAATGCTTGAGGTGACTTGACGATATCCCTTTCTACCAAAATGATCAATGATCGACTTTGCTTAGGGAGAAAGTGTGGAAGAAGTTTCCTGATCGTTGTAATCGATGCAAAACAGTAAGTTGGATAGCAAATGCCCTTCTTTGATTAGGTATCTTGTAAAAATTATTTCCCCACATGTCTTCCTTGCATAAAAAATGGATATAAGCAGGGTTGAGCAAGAGGTCAGGCACAAGTCTTTCCAAAACGACCCCCCCCCCCCCCATGAAAGCCCCTAAACGACCCCTCTGCTTCACCTCCAGGACCTCAGGCTGTGATAATTCGAAGAAATCAGCCGTTTTTGGGAGGTTCTTGTTTTTTGGAGGGCTGTAGGTCGACTTTCTGCACATTGCACATGGTTGCACAGCACACGCAACTTGACGGCAAGTTTTGGATTTTGGATAGCCCTATTTTTAGAGCTATAATTCCCACAGGGGTGTATTGTTTGGCTCCAAATTTGCAGTATTGCAAGAAGAGGCTTTGAGTTCAATACTCATAGCAGAAATGGAGCGACTTTTAGATTTTGAAAACAAGTTAATCGGTTCAGGCGCAACCCCTCAAAAGCTCAGGCGGCCTGACCTTTTATGGGGTTGCGCCTGACCCGATTAACTTTATCATTGAAGAAGCTTTTTTAATCAAGTTTTATGTGAATCGCTAGCACAACCCTCGAAGATTCCACAGTAAGTGTTTGGACTTGATTCGACTTGTTTCGGCCTTGTGGTAATCCGTGGAGTTGAAGCAGTCATGGAGAAAAACGCGCCGGTCGGAATTTTGGCATTATTTCTTACTCCACTATTTGCAAGCGATACAAATCGCGATTTTTAGCCTAGACTAGTAGGGAACAATACTTTGTTACGAGTACAAAAAAATTGACTTTTCTCACTTTTGAAAACAAGTTAATCATGTTTGAAAATCACGCTTTTTAGTCGTTGAGAAGCACTAGATAATGCAGTAAATAATGGTTTGTAGGGCTCATAGAGGTAATTTGACGTGCTCGGAAATGATACCCATTTCACACAGCAAGCTTCCTTGATGAATTTATAATATGTCAAGGTAGAAGATGAAGATTTGAGTTTTGGCCGAAACTTCGATTGTGGAACCAATCATCATGCTGTTTAAGACCGTTCATTCCTTCAGTACTGGTGAGGTCGCGATATCCACTAAACTAGCGCTTTTCTTCTTCACCTTAATCGTAGTATCTCCTCAATCGAACGAATTCGATTCCTAATCACGACCCCCCCCCCCCTCTGTCTTACCCCAGTACGACCCCCCAGGTCGGGCGCGCCTGACCCCACGCTCAACCCTGGATATAAGTGATGTTAAGATTTGTTGTTGAGTATGGGACTGCCGGCCCCTTACGTATGCTCTACGAGCTAACCCGCTGTTCAACTGTCGCAACTTCTCAGATCGCTATTGTCGCAGCTCCGCGATGTGAGCAGCTCTTCAATACACAATCGAAAGCATTGTATACTTAGATACTTACAAGAAAGAGTTCCCGAGTCAGCTCGGCCAACTCGGATAAGTCTCATATTACCGTAACAGGCTTGAAACGCTGATTCCAAATCTGCTTGCCATTTCTGCGGAACAACTCTCCGAAAGAAGTTATGAGCATTTGAAAGCACGAATTTGTCATGTTTATAGTGGCTTAAAATTAGCTAAATACTCTAAAACGAGGGTGTATGTCAAGAGGCGCGATTGTTATTGCCGGATGGACACCAAATAGCGCATAATAGGAGTTTTGTAACATTCTAAAAGTTTAGAAGAAACTATATTAGGTATTTGCATGAGTTGTTTAATCTTGCTGTCTTGGAATCAATTCAAAACAGTAATTTTGAAGATCAAAAACTCATGAATGCAGTTAAGGACAAATTCGTAGATATTTAGATCCGTTTTCCAGCAAAAGCCACCAAACTCAGCAAGTAGTAACCTCAGACAGATAGCAAGCCAATGCACTTTATCTGGTACTTTTTGAAAAGTCGCATAACATCAAACTGGAGTTTTGAGTTGGTGACAGCCGAAGAAATCGCGCCTCTTGACCGTCTCCCCTAAAACGACACCTGGCGGGCTTCCACTCGCTGCGCTCCGTCGTAGTTAGTATACTCGTTAAGATACTGATAACCCACTTTCACGTGTTATTGTAGAGCTTTCGCCAATTTTATGCCACTTTAAACATGACAAATTTGGAATTTCAAACGCTTATAACTTCGTTCGGAGAGTGGTTCCGCAGAAAAGGAAAGCAGATTTGGAATTAGCGTTTCAAGCCCGTCAATGTGATGCATGATTTATCCAGATTAGCCGAGCTGACTTGGGAACTCTTACTCGTTAGATGGCCCGGCTTCACGAAACATGCGAGCCCCAGCACAGAAGTTTCCAGTTATTCCTGTCGCTTCGGACACCCACGATCTTCTGGTTGCTGTCGGTGGTGCGTCCACGAGTTCCACGGGCAAAGTCGTATCCAGCTGATTTCTCAGCTGGTCCATCCGTTCCACGAACACGTCTGCCCATCTCGTTGGTGGTCTTCCTCGGGGACGTTTTGCTTCGCGAGGAATCCACTCCGATGTTCTTAGTGTCCATCTGTCGTCTGTTCTTCTCATGATGTGACCGGCCCATCGATGCTTCGCTTTCGCAACGTAATCCGCTGGGTCACGAAGACGGGACATTCTCCTCTTATCCGTACTGCGAAGTCCGACGAGATGTTGTTTGTGTCGAGTCATCTTCAGAAGACTACGCTCTAGCGCTCTGTGGGTGGTCCTTAAAGCTTTTGAAGTGGCGACGGTGTCAGCCCAAGTCTCAGCTGCGTAACAGAGCGCCGGGAGAACGGTTGAGTCGAACAGGTGGGCACGAAGCTCCGGGTCCGTCAGTTGGTCGGTGGCTTTCTTCAATGGCCCAAAGAAGGCTCGGACAGCTCTTCTTCTCCTGTTAAGCTCCTCCCTCAAGTCGTTCTCCATGTTCATCGAACGTCCGACGTACACGTAAGAAGACGTCTCTATGTTAAGGGTGCCTTCCAATTCCATTTTTGCATCTTTGCAAAAAGCGTTCTCCATGAATTGAGTCTTCTTCCGATTTATTCGCAATCCGATCTTCTTCCCTACTGCTGCGTTTAGTTCCTTCAGCATCGTCTTTCCGCAAAACGAAGGTTCGACAGGAATCTCCTATCGACTCGTATGCCTCCCTCGTCCCAGTCCAGTGACTTCATCACCCACTGCAAGGTTGCGAAGAACAGCTTCGGCGAAATTGTGTCGCCTTGTCGGACCCCCTTCCCAACTGGAATGGTAAGGGGCGAATGGAATAGCTGCATCGTCGTCGTACAGTCCTTGTAGCAGTCGGCTAACGTCCTCACGTAAGTTGGGTCCACTCTCTAATCGACTAGCGCTGTCAGGATGGCGTTGGTTTCGACGCTGTCAAAGGCTTTCTCGTAGTTGGCGAAGGTAAGACGAGAGGCAATCGGTACTCTTACTCTTGGCAGACTCCTTTTATTCTCGAAACCGGCTGGATATGGTCCATGCTTACGCAGCACACTCACAGGCATACTGGAAGGTAGTTTCGAAGATCCTCCCTTCTTGAAGAGAAGGACGGCTGACGTCCCTCACCGGTCGAGATTGTTTTCCTTCTGAAGGTAAGATGTTAGGTGCGACGCAAGAATCTCGTGTAGACGCGTTGTCCTCCGGTTCGGAGACATTTGACGGAAAGATGGTCTGGTCCTGAAGCCGTGGACGTCTTCATGGTCTAAATCGCTGTGCGTGCTTCAGCAGATAGAATTCGGGTACTTCCCCAGTGGGAACAATGGGCATCGGCACGGGTGTTGATAAGTTATATATGTGTAGTCAATCTCTATTCTCTACCGACCGTTACGTCTGCGAACGCGGCCGAACTGATTATACATAGAATCGTCGCTGACACCCGCAGTTGCCTCTTTGATTACGTCTTTGGTATGTGTTTATTATGCTTGGCCTCGTCTCTAGCAGCTCCCGCAGAAGAAGTTCCGACCGGTTAAACTTTATGAAGTATTTGGGTATGATTGCGCTATAGCGCGAGGAGCTCCCTGCGTTGTAGGTTATCACCGCCTCGGGTGCGAAGCAAGTGTTTTAGGCAGCCTAGCTGCAGCCAGCCACCAGAGCTGTAGTGTGCCCCGGCCAGCTTCCCATAGGTACCTGCGCGACGCATCCGCAACGCACGCCTTCAGCGCGCCTCCTATGAATGAAATTCCTTGCTTTTCTCTCATTTTCTTGTTTTTGTTTTACTAAATTCCCTCTATTTCAGGTATAAACAATTCGCTTTACCAGTGACGAAGTTCACTGCTCTACTAGGCCTGAGGGCTTGGGTCTCAAATACTAGTCTTGTGTTTTTCCCTTTTTCCCCGAGAGATTGAGATTTTAGGTGTATTCTAAAAGAATATTCCTCCAAAAGCTTTTTGTACTAAATAGGAGTCCCTCTCGACTTGATTTTTAGAGTGTAGACAGTATATCAAGACAAATTAAGCCTTTCGAGAAGCCGGAAATCTGTTTACGGAAACACCCACATTTTTTGAGTTATTTCACCATTCTAGTTTCTAAGTTTACGAAGAGAAACGTTCTGAAAATGCGGTTATTATTTTTTTGCTCTACGTTTACTTATTACCGCTTTTCCATCGGTGCAAGTTTGAAATTTGCAGCCATTGATTGAACTCGAGGTACTAATGGAGGTTGCATGCGTTTTGTTTTTGTATACGTTTCTTTCATAGTGCATTTACGGGTTTCCACTTCTCAATTCTTTTCTATGGTGCATAGATGTGCTCTATTGCTCATAAGTGAGGTGAGAGGCATCAAGAAATGCACGCGCTGCGGTTGCGCCGCGAAGGTACCTATGGGAAACTGGCCGGGGTCCACACTATATCACCAACGTCGCTTCTGAACTACCATGAGAGCGGGCCTCGCATTTCATCGCGCCAAGGTGCAAGAATTCCCTAAGTGGTCGCGCCTACCGCCGCTCGGAAGTGGGGTTAGTTTCGCAAGGTTCCATGCTTACTTGGCTGTTTGAGCGACCCTTGCGTAGGAAACCCAGAACATCACTGTATGTACTGAGCCTGTAATCATCGGCAGCATGGGGCGACAAGGCTCATCCCGTGTTCATCTAAGTGGTACAGTCGTACTGTAGTACCCTAAAATCCGTACTATAAGTCCGGACTTATCTGCAGTTTTGACACGAAAAATTGATGAAAAATCGCCCTTTGCGCCGCCAAAAGTCTTGCAGATAAGTCCTCCTAAATCCTCTATCAGTTAAGTCCGCAGCAGATAAGTTCGCCTATCCTGAGCATGAGAAAGCGGACTTATCTGAAGGACTCTTGGCGGCGCGAAGGCGACCTTCGTTGTCAAGAAAGCGGACTTATCTGCTGGGTCTGCTGCGGACTTACCTGATAGGTGGGCTTATCTGATAGGCGGACTTATTGTACGGATTTTAGGGTACTTTATAGTCTAGTAGCATTAATTTGCAGTTTTTTGTTTAATATATGATTTATATAATCTGGTCGCGCGTTTGTTAAATAGGTTGCAAGATAAATACCGTCAAGTGGAGGTAAATTCCCAGGGCGCAGGATTGCGTTATCGCGCACTCGGCTAAAAGTGCTACACCCACCGAGGAGGCGATACATCGACAACAGCAAGTACAAGCAAAGTTTATCCTGGTTCCTAAAAAATGTCTCAAAGTGTTGGAAAGGCCAACGGTTCATAAGAAAAAATGAGAAAGGCGATAAAATCGTGTTGACATCGGTCTAATGGAACCCTGTGGCTTAGCTATAGGCGAAGATTGATGTACGATGGACGCATTGGCATATCGTTTTGAACCATGTTCGCGTGAGAGCCTTAGATGCTCTTTTGCTTGTAGGAAAGAGCAGACAAGTAATCGCAAACACGAATCTGTTTTTAGAACATGCTGGGAACACTAATTACGGTGGATTGGAAAAATGCTCCAAAGCTTTGTTTTAGAATCTAACGTGCTTTATGGAGAGACAGTATGTGAGGATGATGCGATGGAAATCAGTTTACAAGGTCCGCGCTTCCCCAGATTTTGACGACGATCACTTTTTCCCACAAAATTGGTACGTTCTAGTATTCGGTTTAACTTATGTTTGACTATCTTAATCGCTAGTTTCTCTCGCATTAAACTCTTTCTTTTCCCTGAAACTTTTTGACTTTTCCTAATTATACGTCCTCACCGATACACATTCGTAAGTAAGAGATTTCTAGGCGTTGCGAATTCCCTTCTCACTTCCACGACTACCACAAGCTGCACTTGGATACTTCACAGCCATTTATGTTTATCGATAAGCTACTTTCCATATTGAGGAATAACAACGTCTCCAACACTGCTGTTGAATATATCAGTAAGGAAGTAGCTTATGTCACCCAGATGATCTTGTTGATTTTCAGGGTCATCGCTCACTTCCGGAAGGACCGTACATAGTACGGTAGATACTGTTGAACGAAAGCAAACGAAGGAGTTACTTCTTTCTAACAATTACCTTAGAACTCTGCTTATCAGGATGTATTTTTATGACTTTGTCCTGTTTGGATATCGTGTTCCACGAGAATTCAGTAGTTGATAAATATTTTATTGAAGTTCAGTCAAAGCTAAATAAGCTACCCTGTGATTTAACTGGCTTGGCGGCAGGGGCGGGGCTTCGTGACCTAACCTGGCTTAGGTAGATATTCAGAGAGAGAGAGCGCCGCGAGAGAGGCGCAGACTGCGTCGCGGGCGCGAGCACTTTAATTGGGTCACGAAGCCCCGCCTTCCAACCACCAAGCCCGCTGAATCAAAGGTTACATATGAGATCATTTGTGAGGGCAGACAAATTTACAAGGCACTGCGCGAATTTTTTGGTACATTATATCAAAGATAGCCTTTTTCGCTATTCATCGAATCGTTCATAATTGTCGCTACTGGATTTCCAATGGTTACCACACGATGTTGCTGAAGTGTAGGCGGGCTGAACAAAAAATTAGCTATGTGAATTTTACTCGATGAAAAAAAAAGAAATACTTACCCAACAACCATAGCACTTTTTGGTTGGCGAAAGTGCATTTCTTTCAACTCTTCGAACTCTTCGAATTCACGCCAATTGCGCTCACGAAACTCTTGCCAGAGTGATTTTACGACATGCACGACGACAATATCACCAGCATGATTGGCCATCATACGAAGTATAAATACCTAGGAAAGAGAAAAGCAAGTCCCAATTTTTAGTTCAAAAAAAAAAAGATGTTTGACTGCGTTTAGGTGCTATATACCATTTAATTCAACTGGCTTAGCGGCCGGAAGGCGGGGCTTCGTGACGTAATCAAGGTTGGATGATTTAGAGAGCACGCGCGCGAGAGAGACGCAGAGTGCGTCGCGGGCGCGAGTGGCTTTGATCAGGTCACAAAGCCCGCCTTCGCGCCGCGATGCCAGTTGAATCAAAGGTCACCTTGAAAGCAGTTTGCACAGTCATATGGAAAATAATCTTTTGTTAAAAACGGTACTCACCCCATCAGATTTGAGAAAACGGATAACAAATTTGTCAAGCAGATGAGGTGCAAATGGAATAACAGAGTAGACTCGTTCCGCGCAACTGTCCTGGAACTGTAAATGATTTATATTTTATTCAGCTACCTTCTCTCCCCAGAAAGGGGAGATGTTTTCCATAAGTTAAAAGTATAAGAAAATTATGTAGCAGTAGCTCTAAAAAACTGAAAGTTACAAGAATTTTTGTGAAAAACGCTTTTTCTACGGCAATGACATTCACTAGATTGAGATCTCAATGACCAAAGCTTGCACGGGCTTTTGAAACCACAGAAAAGTTTCTGAAGGCTTGTTCAAGGGTATGGCCTCCCAAACAAAATTTCCTCTCGTCGTTTCCCAGGAAATCCTTTCGCAAGCTAATCTTACTATGAGTGTATTGGAGGAAACTTTCAAAAGATTTCCTTGCCCTTTTTTCAGATGAAAACAATCACAACATATTTCATAATTTCTTTCGCTTGGTGACATAGGTCCCACCAAAAATGTATCAAGGGCATCCATTTTTGAACTTCGACCACAGTACAGTAAGTTTCAACCCGCTTTAGGCGGGAATTAGATTGGCAGGCGTCCGCCTCGCAACAATTCGCGCCGTTTCGCAGCTACAGTATATCATATCGTGCTGAGAACCCTCTGCGTCTCTTTATTCCCCCTTAGTTTTTGCTTGGCAAAATGCCAACGATATGCGCTCGCGAAGCCTCAAGCGGTGCGCACGCCTTGCTTCATGTAGAATGTTTCGTCTAATTCGGGATGAAAACAATTGTACTTTCAGAACTTTACCTTCGCAAACTTCATTTGCTTCTTTCTATCACTGCTTTGTGCTATTTGCATATATTTTAATATGTAGTCTATCTTCTCCGATTGTAACAGACTGTTTACTAGCCAAGAAAGCGTTGAAAATCTGGAAAAATGTAAACATTCTACAGAATTTGGGACGAGAAAAAATTCTATTCCTCACGATGTGACTATCACCAGTAGGAGATACCAACACCATAAAAAGGCAAAGACCTTTTCATTTATGATATTTATCAGGAGCGCGCACTGCACGGTGTATCTAAAAAATGGGTTTGATGTTCAAATAATAAAGTGCAGAAATTATTTACCTATTCAAATTGGCTAAATATCGAACTTCAAAGTCGCATAAAGTAACGCGAGGAAAATGCCCGGACTCGGTCCAAGGTTTCCCGGCGAGAAGATCTTGTAAGACCTGAACAAAGAATTTTAACTGGGTCATTGAGTCAGAGGTTAAAAGGAACGTACCTGAAATCCAAAGAAGAGGTACTCGTCAGATTTGAGGCACGCATTAAGTAGCATAAATTGCACGACTATATTTATAGTGTAAAACAATTTGGTGAGCATATAAAGGCAAGTGATGTAGTGTCCGGCAAGGAGCCTGAACACCTAGTAACATATTTCATACCGTAATTCTCGAAATTTCATACCTTTGGCATTTGATTTTCGCTATCATACTTCGTAATGGGATATCACCATTAGGTGACTGTAGATCGAGAGTATCGATGAAACAGCTGGCTAAAGCGTCCACTGCCTAGAAGCTGAGATGTTGGTCCCTTATTCAGAGACTGTATTACTTCTATATGCACAGCAGTGGTGTACCCAGGATTTCTTGCTCGAGGGGGCGGGGGGCAACGGATTTCCTTTGATGAAGGTGCGTAACGTTAGCTACGCACTCCGAAAAAATTCTTGATATGCCTCGAAAATTTTCGCGGGCCCATAACCCCGAAATATCAAGAAAAAGACTTTGAAAATTATTCCAATCATTTACAAGTTTGAACAAGTCATTTGCACATCTTTATAACTAATGTAACTTTCATCCTTTCGCTCTCCTCCCTCTCGGTACGCCATTGATGCAAAGAGTTAAATCATAAAACTTGAGCAACCTATTGATGGCTAGAATACCCCGTTCCCTCCGATAAAGCAAAACTCTAGTTATGTAAAATGGAGATGAGAGATGGTAATAAGTATTACATAATAGTGTTGTGATGATAACACTTACACTTGGTATCTTCGTATCAAATATAATTTTTACGTTTTTAAGAAACAATCATAACTCCTCGGAATGCTCCTCCCTTAACTTCGATTACATGTGTGATACAGCGTTTAAAAGGGACAGCAGTGGTGGGCCATCGGGCTTTTTTTTGCAAGGAACAAGAAGAAGAAATTCTTCAGTCAAAAGAAGTTGTGGTCGCCGAAATTTCCGAAGAATTTCTTGTGACGTCCTTCAAATTTGATCTCTTAGATTGTCTCGTAAGTCTTTTCATTTTCGAACTTTCAAATGGATATTTTCCAAGAAATAAGGCACCTACAAGGATGAATTAAAGGGAATATCCTGAGTAAATGAGCTTTATAATCACGTATTTGCGAGGAACACAGAACCGTTGCAAGCAAAGTTTGAAAACTGAGCGCATTATTTTTTTTTCGATTTGCCATCAGAAAAAGGGGGTGTATGTCGAAAGGCGCGCGTTCCCTAAGCCTTCAATGCCAGACTGGTCAGTTCTCTGCAAAAGCAAGGTTTCCATATTGCAAGATTTTGGTCAGTACATCAGAAGGGGGATAAAGAAGGATAACCAGTTGAAATTCGATAGTATCAAAATAAATTTGAACTTATTTCTCGCTTCTCCCGGTTAGTGAAAACCGATCAGTGCGCGCCTTACGACCGTCTGCTAGAAAAAAGGTAGCAAGTCATGCTCGTGAAAAGTCAACCTAATGTTTTCCGCTCTCCCTCCCCATCAGCCTCGCCCATCAGAACTAAACTTGGAAAAAATTAGCTCTTTTCTCGCCTCCCCCCCCCTCTCCCAAAAAACTTACCTTTTGGCGATCAGCAGTATCTACTATGGCGTTTGTGTCACATGCAACGTTTATGAGGTGTTGAATATTGAGACCTGCAGAATTACGATTGTACACTAATTTTCACTTTTTTGCACAAAATCGAAAATTTTCATCAATTACCTGACTGCCATGACAGCAGACGCCAGAACATACATGGTAACGAGAACATCAATGCTTCGGCGATAAGTATAAACGGGACCCATTGATAATAACCGATTTGTTTTTCTGAAAAAAAATTTAGATCATTTTCCAAGGTGGATAACTGATGACTACTACCTTCTCTAGCTGTATGATCATCAGGGATATTTTCATACATCGGTACCCAGTAGGTATTCTGAATCCAGCAATAGCTTTCTATGTACTCCTCCATGCTCTCGCGAGAATGAGGATTGACCCAGCATTCGATGGGGGTTCCACCATACTGAAAAAAAAAATAATTTCACGAAAAAGTTGAGAGTTGGAAGGAAGAGAGTGCATAGGAAAAGCAGGAAAGGAATTTGGGGGGATGGAGTTTGAAAGGTTCGGAAAGGAAATTGGCATGGCATCTTCCGCACCACCCATTGTTCTTTCTCCTTTCCTGCTCCCGCTCCGCCCACAAAAAAATCACCTGCTTGGCGCTGATAATAAGACAAGCGATACATAACATAATCGGAGTGTAGTAGTAGTTCAAACGGTCGATCACATCGTCGTCACCTCTCAACGATAGAGCGTTGATGAACGAGCGCGCAAGCGTCGCATGGAAGAACATATCGCTGCGCGCTGCACCCACCACTCCACCCCTGAAAAAATCAATAATCAGCCTTCGTAACTGTAAGAAATGATCAGTATAACCTTTACTGGGTAGGAAGGCACCTATGGTGAAGGTCAAGAGTCCAGGATCAGCGCTGGGGCAAAGTAACGGGAACGCGCCCTCTAAGTGCTGGGGACGACCGGATGCCACTGTGATTGCAGTAACTGAGGCAAGACGTAATGCGAGTCTATTAGCGAAGTCAGATGTGCAAATCATGCGGACACACGCACAATCAGGTACAACATGCTGGTTTTTATGCATTTGGGTCCTGAACGGACTCTGAGGTGGTAGCGATCCTATAAATTTTCTTTTATAGAGGGGAAGGGGAGGGAGAGGAGGCGATGGAATGATTGGGCGTGGAGTCACTGTAAGATCATCGAAGTTTCGATTTTTTTTGCAAGCTTTTGTGGAATTTGAGCAATTGCAAATAATTGTAATCGCAAAAATTTTCCTTCAAAATTTCAGGTAAGATTTATTCTTGCAAAATACTATGCATTTCCCGCACTTTCTCGTGATGCTCCTCCAGGTGTACGCGATGAAGTCAAAGTTTGCAGTATGTAGGCGATACCCTTTAACTCAACTGGCTTGGCGGCTGGAAGGCGGTGCCTCGTGACCTAATTGAGCCTAGATAATGATCAGAGAGCACGCACGCGAGGGAGACGCAGACGGCGTCGCGGGCGGAGCGGCCTTAACTAGGTCACAAAGTCCCGCCTTCCAGGCGCCAAGCAAGTTGCTCAAAGGTTAGACAAGATCCTTTTATTGATCGATTTTTTTTGCATTGCATGAATATGATATCTAATATATAAAGAAACGTAGGCGCAGTTCAAAAATCCGCAAATAGCGGGAAACCGCGGTGCTTTCCCGAGACGCGCGGATGCAATCTAGCGCCTTCATTTACTGGTTCACTAGTATTACAAAAAATATCAAGAGTTGTATGAAGATACAGGCATCTACAGAAGTAATATTAGGTTGGTGCAAAAGTAATGCGCGTTTTTTTAGCCCTTGTTTCAAGATAGCTTATCTCCATCGAATTCCTCCTATAAAACTTAACCAGCATATTTTCAAGAAGCCTTTTTCATGCTCTATTCAACGGTGGTTGAAATAATCTTCTAGCCTCATTCGCTAGAAATTTCTAGAGCTTCATACAACCGCAATCAAAATCAGAATTTCATTGCACTTACTTTTTTGGCCAGGATTTCAGCGCGAGTAAACGCATTCTTTTGAAAATTCAACTGCTGTATGTAGTAGAATTTTTCTACGTTATGCACACTTTGCTGTTTTTTCAGAAATTATTTAGACTGAAATTTCGGCACCTCAACATGAGTGATGGTTTTGACCATTCTGTGGCCCATAGATTTCCTTTGAAGAAAGCAATCGCCAAAGTTTCGCTCATTTGTGTAGGCGTAAGAGTGGGCCTCCTGTTGACAGTTTTTGCAGAAATGTGGAAGCTGTTCAGTACACAGAAAATCAAAAATCTCCATATTTTGGGATTTTGAGGGTTACGAAAAAATGTCGAAAAAAGCGGGCAATTTTTAATATTGTTTTTTCATTCTCGCGAATCTTCTTTGTTTGAGCTCCTTCAACTTTTTTTCGTACTACTGGCTTGCGGCTACAAGACAGTCAACTTTTCATTTATACCGACAAATCTTGAAGGAAGTTATGATCAGTTAAAAACGAGCTTTCCAAAAAAAGATTTTTTTCTTATCAGTCCATATTTTTCCACCGTTTTGTGATGTTTACACAAATTAGTGTGCGCTGTATAGAGAGAAGTTTGGTGCCTCTGGTAGACTTGACCGCACTGAAAAATACGGATTTTTTAGAAAGTTACAACACGTCAAAGTGGGAACTCGCAAAACGCGCATTACTTTTGCACCAACCTAATAAAAATAACAAAAAAAAATAACAACCGCAATAATTAAGAAATCTTACGTTAAGTTTTTTCTGCGCAAACCTTTGCAATTTTCAAAAGAATTCATAAAATAACCAAAGGAGAATTAAGGGAAAGCTAAATTGATACATTACCACTTGCAAAAAATTTCTAGTACACTTCCCTTGGATATAATCTTTGGAGTCCATTCATGTGTAGTTGTAAGTACACATTGGGTACATATTAGTAAGTACACATTATGAATTGAAACCTAACTAAACTGGAAAAAGCTCATGCTTCTCTAGTTTCATATTGCTTTTCTCTATCTTCTTTTTATTTTTAAATTCTATGAAAACACCTATACATAAGAAATTACAATGTAGTCCAATAGTTCATTTGCTATGTCTCGGACATCAGATCTAGTCGCTGCATTTTCAAACAACTTCAAAACTTCAGGTGGTCATCCGCAATATGAACAAAAGTGAATTATGATGAAAACTAAAAGCTAAAATATTCAATACTATGGTGAGCTCAAATTAGCACAGTATACTCAAAATAAATTATTATACATAGTTGTGAGCTTTTATAAGTCATGGAACACACAGAGACCATAAGCTATCTAATAGAAGGACTTGGTAGAGGGATTCTGTGATGCCTTTTTTATACGTATTTTATATAAACATTTTAGGCCCTCAAAGCTTAAAGAGTCACATTGATCAATACGGGTCATAAAAAATGTGACAATAAATGGACAATAATGGAAGAGAAAGCTCAGAACAAGCTTTGCCAACGCTGTACACATATGACCACTTGTGGAAGCCATTATGTGTCTTCCGGCAACCTCTTAGGCTTCAATCCACCTTCACAAATGCTTGGGATTCCAGCATTTTCGACGAGATACCCAGGCTTAGTGCTAGGAAAAAATTACAAGGCCAATATCTGTTGACGCAGTTTGACAATAATTGTCGCTTCGAACAAAAACTGTCAAAAAGCTGTCATTCAATTTTTCGAAAAAAGCGCAAAAGAGCAATTTTAATGAATTTGTAATGTAGAATTGACAGTGGGCATGCACCGTCATGATATAATTGACATATCCACTGCAATCAACCTTTACGTTGCTATAGCTGCGATGAAAACAGTGATAAAGGAAAGAATGAGGAGGGATTTGAGAATGATTTTTTGCTCTCGGTTGCTTTTTCCATACCCATCATTCTCTTTTCTGCATCTGCAAATTCACAGACTCATTGCACTTCAAAAATAGAGGTAAGGAAGTTCAAAAGACAGTTGGAAAGTCTTGTATGCAGTAGGAGGGGACAGCATTGAAGCTAAATAATGGAAGTGTAAAGTGGGACCAAAAAAACAACAGTAGAATGACCTAATCACTCCACTTCTAACCTCCCAGCTCAAGCTGCCAATCCCAAATTTACAGAAATTTCATTCTATTGATTATATCTTAACTATATGTTAGACCCATAGGCTAGACAAGGAAGATTGATTTGAAACGGCTGGGTTTATCATGCTTGATAAACTGATAACTAATGTCTAATAAGCCTCATAAATTTTTTTTTATTGAAAGGAGATGAGGAGGGAATACCTCTTTTGGAAGGGATGTTAAGCACGCCCTTTGAGAAATTTTTGGAATAATTCTCAATTTTTATTTCAGAAATCAAAATCTCAGGACAACGATCGTGACGATCCCAAAATATCTTCAGAAGTTGAACAAAATTTCATAAGACTTAAAAAGCCTTCTGTCATCATAAAGTGTGTAGAGGGCAATATGTCGCCGAAAGGGAGGGTCCCGCGCGGACAATGCAGCAGATACTCAGCCTGTGCATGTGTTAATTTGTCGCAGATATCCAAATGTCCAGATGACCTCCCTTCGGCATACAGTCCCCTATCTGGATTGTGGCGGTCCCAAAATATCTCCAAAAGTTTAGAAAAATCCCATAAAATCTAATAACCCTTTTCTCATCACAAATTGAAAGAAGTCATATGCTAGTTGACTCGTGGAGACTATCAAAAATTAAAACATGAATTTAGAAATCGAAATAAAAATCAAAAATCCATCTTCTAGCCTTTCCCCTACATTCCCCGGTCTTCATCTTCTCTGAAAATATTACAAATATTATTACGTGCACGTTCAACTAATTTACATCACCTTCACCTTCGTTTGAAAAAAGTAAAAATGGAAGATCAACTTCAAAAAGATCATTTTTAAAATCGTGTCTGCTTGCTTCCCTCTCTCCTACCCTCTTTACTTATTTCTAGATCAGTGCCAATAAAATATTATGCTCAAAATACAATCATTTCACAAAGAAGGGTAAGACTTGAGATGTGCTAGTGGTAAGGTAAGCCACCGAAGAACACAAAGGGGCGCAATGCTCATAATGATGGGCGTTGAGATGATGTCATTTACATGCATATTAACATTGCCTTCACCTCTCCTATAAACTATTTGCTCATTCTGTTTTATAGCAGCAGTTTAGTATTTCCTGTATGTAATTTCATAGATTCATAGCAATAATTTCACTGATTGCAGTCTCTTTGAAATATGCGGTACTTAATTTTTTTGGAAAAAAGCCAAGGTTACTCTTGCTGAAAGAATAAAAGGCTGTGTGCAGACTATTCTGATCCCAAGACGAAACAAGGAATTTAGAAGTATGAAAGAAAGACTCAAGGGCAAAGTCCTTAAAAGGCATCAGTGTGAAATGGATAGATAAAGATGGCTTGAATATATGCTAACCATAAAGAAATAACGATAACCTAACTTGACAGCCCCTTCAGGATTTTTTGCGAAATAATTTTCAATGATTTTTGGTGACTCGAAATACCAGAAAAGTAGACGAAAACGGCAATATAAGAGTAAATACATTTTACTTTATGGGAGTAAAATCAGTTTACGTTTGAAGGAATGAATTCCATAAAAAAACTATACTCCGTTGAATTTTTGCTACAAAAAAGGTCAGCTTTTTATAGACCGTTGAGTGACCTGATTCCTGTCTCTTTGCCTTATAGATAATACGATAGAATTTTCTCCATAGAAAAATCTCTAACCGTTTTCCATCTATTCGAAATGGTTGAGTATTTTCCATGGAAGACGTTGTTTGCTCGAGATGCTGTTGTTAAGTGGCAGTTTCGACGGCTAAGAAGAAGAATTGCGTCGAGAATGGCAAATCATTTGCCGTGAAATCTCTTTCTTTTTCGCGAAACATTAAAATCAGATGTTAGGCAGAAGTGGGATTTAGAGGGTGCAAAGGGATAGTTAGGAAA